ACCAGTATTTTCGCCCCTTCCCAAAATTACTTCAACGGAAGGTTTCCAGATGGATATGCGGAGCAAATCCATCTGGCGGAGTCAGGTTAGTCAGGTTAGTTTTCCCCTTCGTTCATTTCAATCTGCATGTTTTCTAAACAAAAACAAGGTTTTGATGGGCTACAGTATTAAGCCTCAAACTCAACGCTGTTTCTGACATTTTGAATTGAAAAAGCTTCCTGGATGGAAAGAGAAACGTCTTCAAAGTTGGAAACAAATTGTTTTTAATTTTCTGTTTTTGGACTTGCTTGGTAATGTTAGGTTCTTCCATCCACAGCCGCATCCAGCAACCACGCCCACTGGGATCAGCAGAACAAGGAGCTGCTGCAGGGTCTGTCCCCAGAGCTGCTCGAGGACTACGGTGAGGACTACGTGACCGAGACCAAGAACCTTTTCCAGAGCTTCTCTGAGAGGGCCAGTACAGATTTCAGCCCCGTCATCGACACCATCGTCCAGGCACTATCGTCGCCGCAGCCGCAGGCTCGCTACCATGCTGGCCTCAGCCTGATGTACTTCATCCATAGCTACCTCCCACTGAGTCTCAGAGACCGCCTTCAGAAGAAACGCTTCCTGAAGAAGACGGTGATGCCACGTGCGCTGAGGAAGAAGTCCGGTTTGGATGCTAATGGCTGCCACAGCAACATCAACACCTGCGAAGAGAAGCAGAACCTGCAGTAACACGGCTGGTTAAAGAAAAAAAATGTGCATTTAAAGAGTAATATATGCTTTCTCTAAAGATAGAAAAATGGTTTTAATAAATTTAATATCTTTATGAATAAAATGAACACTTTAAGTTTTTAAGTTTCTTTGTATTGCTTTTTAACAGCATAACAAACCGATCAACAAACGTTAAGAGAAACAAAAAAAACCCAGCAAAAGATAAAATTAAAGATAATTATAATAACAAAAGGCCACATTTACATGGTTAAAACTAGCAGCATTCTCCTGGCACCCTCCCAGGCCGTTTCCCAATATGTGTACTTGTGCGTTCTCGTGTCCTCGTGAAACGTCATCAGCCTCAGCCCTAGTGCTTTTCTAATTCACAAGAACAGAAGACCAAGGAAGGACAAAGTCCCCGGATGTTGTTCTGGCCCCTCCCTCTTTACCCAGCATGCATCAGAGCAGACCTGTCCGTTCTCCAGATTGACAGCTGTCCCAGCATGCACTGCGGCAGCAGCAGCTAACAGGTTAGCGCTCAGAGGATGAAGTTAAAAGTTCTCTATTCTGTTGCTGTTGTTCTATAAAAAGTCGTTTTAAGATCATTCAAGGCGAGAACATTATTCTTTGAAGCGACACTATGTGGCCCATTTACTGATTTAATGCGTAATAAAAAAAAGAAATTCTGAAGTTGAGAGGGCCGCGGGGCAACCAGTGGAGGTCAGAGGGTCACGGCAGCCCGTTAGCCCGTTAGCCCTGGCTGCTGCAGCCTGGTCTGTATTTTACGGTGGCCATGAAGTGCAAACTGCAACTACAAATCTAAAAGCGCAACTACATTAAGGAAAACACAAT